AATTAATAATTTATTTTCTTAAAAGAAAACCCTCCATTCTCTCATATTTAAGGATGATCAAACCCTCCTTTATCTACTGACGAGGAGAAGGAGGATTTCCATTTCAAGAGACAAAGAGGTGGGTTTCTCTACTCTCCTTTTTTTTATTATTATTTTTAAAAATTTAATTGATTATGTTATATTATCACGATTGATTATAAGCATGTTATTAGTTGATAATTATAATATTAAATTTTAATCATGCATCTTTATTGTTGTTCTTGCACGATTTGCTAAATCGATTTCATGACACTCATATTTTAGGCACAAATTCTAAGATACTATTAGTTTTGTGATGAGACTAAAATCATTTTTTTTTCAAATATATATTTGAAATATTTAAATAAAATTAGTTTGTTTTATACCACTTTGGATGGGTGTGTGTGAAAAAGGTTGTCATATTCGGCATCGTGGAAAAACAAAAAAAAGGTAGGTTGTGAAAGGATCAAAATTGACCGCATTAATAATATACTCGAATATTCTCTCGAAGTTTCAACGTGAAGTGATAGCAGTCATTAGCACATATTAATTCAATTTTAGAAATAAAATACAAAAATAATATGTATATGTATATATTTTAATGTTTAAAATAATTGAAATCGACGAAGCACTCATCAATACCAATCCAAGAGTAGAAGATAAGAGAGGAGGGTAGCTTGTGGCGTACCTTTGGTTCTAATTTATTCGTTGGTGCCTTTTTATATTGGACCCGGCCTTCGTACCAGACGCCCTTCTTTGTTTGACTCGCCAACCGTAGTCGGACAAACCCCTTCGTCTTTCATCCGTGGAAGGGAAGGAGTCCTCCCCATTCGGAGATCACAATATCATCATCAACTGTATCATTACGTTTCTTGCTCCGGGCTCCTCCGTTCGGCGATAGGGAGATGGATTCGGGGGTCCAGTGGCGGGGGCGGGGGCGGAGGAGGCTCCTCGCGGTGGCCGTCTTCGTGCTCTACCTGGTGGCCTCCGCCCACTGCCTGGACGCTGAGAGGGCGGTGGGGAGGAGGAAGAAGAAGGCGAAGCACGAAATCAAAGGGCCGATCAAGACCCTGGTGGTGCTGGTGATGGAGAACCGGTCGTTTGACCACATGCTGGGGTGGCTCCGGAGCAAGGGCGGCCGCACGGACATCGACGGCCTCACCGGTCGCGAGTCCAACCACGTCAAGGCGTCTGACCCCTCCTCCCCTGAGGTCTTTGTCTCCGACGGCGCCGCCTACGTCGACTACGACCCCGGCCACTCCTTCCAGGCTATCCGCGAGCAGATATTCGGCTCCGATGACTCCTCTGCGGTTCCCGCCCCCATGAGCGGCTTTGCCCAGCAGGCCGAGAGCATGGGTGAGGGCGTGGCCGGCACCGTCATGCGGGGTTTCGCCCCCGAGGCTGTCCCCGTCTACTCCGCTCTCGCGGAGGAGTTCGCGGTGTGCGATAGGTGGTTCGCCTCCGTCCCGGCCTCCACCCAGCCCAATCGCTTCTACGTCCACTCCGCCACCTCCCACGGCGCCACCAGCAACGTGCGCAGGGACCTCATCCACGGCTTCCCCCAGAAGACCATATTCGATTCCCTCGATGAGGATGGTCTCAGTTTCGGCGTCTACTACCAGAACATCCCCGCCGTGCTCTTCTTCAAGAGCCTGCGTAAGCTGAAGCACCTCGTCAAGTTCCACAGCTACAAGCTCGCCTTCAAGCTGCACGCCAAGCAGGGCCGGCTGCCTAACTACGTGGTCATCGAACAACACTACTTCGACGTGAAGCTCTCCCCGGCCAACGACGATCACCCATCCCACGACGTCGCCAGGGGTCAGAGGCTCGTGAAGGAGATCTACGAGACGCTCCGGGCGAGCCCGCAGTGGAACGAGACGGCCTTGCTTATCACCTACGACGAGCATGGCGGGTTCTACGACCATGTGCCTACACCTGTCACTGGGGTGCCCAATCCGGACGGCATCATCGGCCCCGACCCTTTCTATTTCAAGTTCGATAGGTTGGGTGTTCGGGTTCCCACCATCCTTATCTCCCCTTGGATTGAGAAGCGCACCGGTGAGTGATTGTTTCACTTTCAAAGTTCTCCATTCTTCTTGACTCTTTAAATCAATTATGATAGACTCTGCTACTGAGGCTTTGAAACGCACGCTGCCCATGTGGATTTGTGTTCCTTTCATCTTAAATACAATTCATGTAGCTAATCGGTAAATGGATTGGTTGATTATCTTTTGATTTCATTTTTCTGTATGACCACTAGTTGTTATACATGCCAACCTAGTTGCAGTTAGGAATCATTTCAGTTTATGTATGCCATCGAGCAAGATCCACTATGGTATGAAGTATGAACTTATATTTCCTGTAGTCTTGTAGTAGCCTAATCAATGTTTGCAGAAAACTTTGTGCAAGTTTGAACTTTCCAATTAAAGATTTCTTGATGTGTCAAACTCTAGTATTTTCTTAATGCATTCATCAACTATCTGCATGCACTAAAACAAGAAAAAACCATCTCAATTGGGTTTCCATGAACTGCATTTTCTGGCATGATTTTTTATCATTCTAGAAAGTCGATGTGCACATTTTTTTCATTATAATTTCTCTACACTTCATCAATCCAACATGTATATGAAATATCTGTCTTTAGGCTTTGTTTTGCAACAGAGAATCATTAGGAGATCAAAAATAAGAAGGCAAGTTAAACTTTTTGAAAATTTCTGGTTTGGTTTAGATGAAGCGATTTATCGTCGTGCCAATATTTGTGGGCTTGGCCATGCTTACACTGCCATGGAGCCTTGCTGACATTTTGCTGGCTTGGCACACCACATACTGTCACAGATCCACGCTGATCAACATATTGTTTCAGCTAACGTTTGCGCTCATGTCAATAGATTCAAAGATTTTTGTTGATACATTTTTGTTTATTATGTATGGCGCAATGAAGTGATCCATTAGACTTATGGTCCTGACACACAGCTATTCGCCCATTTTATTTGTCATATTGAGTGCAATGTAGTTGTGTTAGACACTTTTTCCTTTTCATCCCGCAAATATATGGCTGTTCTAAAATTATTAATCTGTCATGTCGAGCGTGATTATTTATGCATTACTTCCTTTTACCATGCAGTGATCCATGAGCCTAAAGGGCCAACTCCAAATTCACAATTTGAGCACTCTTCCGTTCCAGCAACTGTAAAGAGATTGTTCAACCTGAATTCTAATTATCTCACAAAGAGAGATGCTTGGGCTGGGACATTTGAGAGCTACTTTTACCTCAGGAAGACGCCAAGAACTGATTGTCCAGGTAATGCAATTCTATATGTGATACATTTATAAGCACCTATACCCATGTAGCACATGCAGTGGTGTGCTAGCATTTAAGCTGTGAGATCCTTTGATTAGATCTATTGTCTATTTGTCGAGATTATTCGAAAGACTAATAGTTGGAACAATAGATGGAAATCTGAGTTACTAGTTCAAGTATGGAGATATTTTGCTAATGGAAATCTGACCAGCTTATTAGCAGTAAAAGATATCTGCTTCAACATGAAAAAAAAAAAAAAACATTTTTCATTCAGGCACTGTGACTGAATTTAGGTGGTCGGACATGCCATGAAGTAGGTTCAGTTTCAGTTTCTGATATCGAAGCTATATATAGGAAAAATGTCACCAACGTTGAGCTCCCAACACCCGAGTCAGGCTGGGCCTTGCTTGAACTGAAACCTTTTCATCTCATCCACGAAAATTGATTCCATATAAAGATGAAATCTCACACTCATATTTCACCGCTTCATTTATTCTGTTTCTGACAGCTAATGTTTGTCTGTATGATCAGAGAAACTCCCAGAAGTGAAGCCGCTGAGGCCATTTGGACCGAGGGAAGATAAAGTGCTCTCCGAGTTTCAGGTGGAACTGATCCAACTTGCTTCGCAGCTCAATGGAGACCATGTGCTGAATACCTACCCGGACATTGGCAAGGGCATGACCGTCGGCCAAGCCAACAAGTATGCTGAGGATGCAGTCGCAAGGCTTCTGGAAGCTGGCAGGGCCGCGCTGAGGGCTGGAGCGAATGAATCAGCCATTATCACGATGAGACCTGCTTTAACTAGCCGGACTATTGGATGGTCTTCTGGTGCTTCTGTCCAAAGCATTTGATTTTAGATAAATTACTTGACTACAACAAGGCTTTGTATATGGTCATACTTCGTCATCTGATGACTTATTTGGTATTCATAGGATACAGTGTATGCTTAAACTGATGGGATGAAACACTCGTGCTCAAATTCTAGTATGCTCTACTCGAAATTGTAGTATGATTACCCATGTAACTATTTGATGGCCATGCAGCTGGTGGCAGATATATATGTATATTTTATACAATGAACCATGGTTGATTGGTGAACACAATCGAACAAATATAGGAAGAGCTGCTGTTCAAGTGCCCGGAGGAGGAGCGGCCGTGGGCTTTATCCTTTTGTGACTGATGGTTAGTTATTAGCTGGTTTGTGTTCAAAAATTACATATTAAGTATGGATGTATTATTGTCGTCTTAGATGTAGAATTCATCAATTAATAATAGCTACTTCACTCTTTAAACATCCCTCTCTCCACAATGTTCTTTTCCGGCGAGTGCTGCTTGGTTTTCAGCATGATGATGACAAATATAGGAATCATCTGTGTGCATAAGACTCTAAAAACATGCCATAAATCAGTTCTTTTAGTAATGTCGGAAAATTAAGGACAGACAGTTCAGCATAAAGACATGAACGACAAGTGTCATGCGTTATCCATCTGCTTGTTTGCCCGTCGAGATGGCTGACAAGCTACGAGGGCTTATTGCGTAAGATCGAGGTGGCAAGGGACTTACTGACTAAAATTTGTAGGAGTAGATACCGAAGGAAAAGTTTGAGAGGGATGTATCTGCAATTTGGCTGCTGAGGTCTTAGGTAACGCGTACAAGAAACGTTCAACGGTTCCGACTCGAAACTCTTGAGGAGAAGGGGAATAAAATCTCCGGAGCGAATCTTCTCGTCCCTCGCGCCCGCGCCCTTTCGTTGCTATTTCATTCGATTCACCGCCGGCGACAGGGCCGCGTTGGTCGAAGTGCGCGCGGACGGTGGTTGAGGTGGGCGGCCGAGATGCGGATCGGTTGGGCGACGCGGATGCGAGCCTCCTTCGGGGCTCCCTTCCTCTGGCTCGTGACGCTGGTCTACTTCACCCAGGTTTCCTTCTCTCTCTCTCTCTCTCTCTCCCGTTTTCTTGGTCTTAGGGTTCTGAGGTCTGTGATCTTTAAGTGCTTTCGTCTAACTCTAACGTCTAATTTGATGATCGTATTACAGGGTTTCAGATCGTTCGTATGGACAGCAGTTTCGTACCAGATGAAAGACATACTGAAGCTATCACCATCGGCATCACAGTTCGTGGTCTCTGTTGCACACTCTCCGTGGAGCATCAAACCAATTTACGGGTATTAAATCATTTAGCGATCGTCAATCTTAAAATTGAGAATCTGTTACATAAAAGACGAGCATGGTGCCATGTTAATTTTAAAGGGCAGTAAGACATCAAATTAAAGTATCATTTGATCCAATAACTTGTCCAACACGGGCCTCGTTATGTAAATGTGTTGTCTTGGCAACTCTTATGATGTTGATCCATATTTCATCTGGCATGAGGATGCTAGCATTTATTCCTTTTGTTTTTTTTTTTAATCTCAGGTTTAAGTCGATCAGAAACATTGAGATTTTTTTGATGTTTCAATAACTTCTCATAGCTGCACATGAAAAAACTTTAAGGTTTCCTGTGGCAGACTACACTTGTTTCAAATGTCGACATTTGAAAAACATGGAACTGTTGAGGAAATGCATGGCAGATGTATTAGTTTAACTTTTTACCAATCGTACATTAAATAGATTTGTTGTGAATTTATTTAAATGCATGCCTGTTACCCAAAGAAAAAGTTATAAATGGTAACATTTCTAAGGAGACAATTTGGATGAAATGATAAATATGCCCAGCATGTTTAGGTCTATGAATTATATGATACAATAAATTGTGTATATTACATGGCGATGAAATGCTACGCAAGTATGATTTTCGAAGAACAAAATGCAGGTTTCTTGGACAGAACTGTATCGCCATCCTATGGAGGCCTCATTGTGGTATGTTCTTAACATTCACAATGGGCTCTGTGCGAGAAACGACAGAAAAAAATGTTGATTACTTGGGATCATCTTTCTTTTTATTCAAGATATTCTAAATTTGATGTGAAATTGCTATCGATCACCCTGTTCTATGTTTACCTGTTTTTTACATGGTTGACTTCTTGTTCGTGCAGAATTCTGTCAGATTGCATCCCTATTAGCGGGAGGAGGAGACTCCCATACTTGGTTATATCCACTATTCTTTCTCTTTTTCCATGGCTCATCCTTGGTCTAGCAAATTCTCTAAGGAGTTCACGTGATTCCCTTACTGCTTTCTTGACATTACAAAATTTGGGATCTGCCATGGCGGATGTTGTTGTTGATGCAATGATTGCAGAGGCAGTTCGGTCTGAACTGTATGTAGAATTTACATGGCTTTGCTGTTTCTGTTCTTAGACTTTCATTAAAAGCTGATACTGGACTCCATTTTTCACAGTGCAGAATTTGCTGGTGATCTCCAATCTTTGTCATGGTCTGCTATGGCCTTGGGAGGAATATTTGGGAGCATGTTAGGAGGGTACACATTGTCCCATCTCACAATAGACACAATATTTCTACTTTTCTCTGTTCTTCCAGCAATTCAGCTTCTGTCGTGTGCTTTAGTCAAGGAGACTCCTTTACAACTCGAAAGCTTGCAACATTATAAGAATGAGGAAAATTTGGAATTCAAAGAAGACGCTAGAGATTATAAAAGAAAAGATACCCCCACCAGGACATCTGATACTTCCAGAAGGAGGAAGAATAATCATAAATATCACAAAAGGAAACTGAATTTTAAATCTGAGATTTCTGAAAAGCAGCCCGGTCCACTAGTTGCAAGATACGACATATCTCTGAGGTCAACTATCGTTAGTTTGGCCAAGGCCTTCAAGCAGCCTATCATCCTAAGGTAGCCACAGAATTTTATGTTCTTTAAAGTATTTTATTTGTTCCCTTTATATATCAAACTTCCTAAATAGATGCAATTATTGATATTGTATTTTTGACTATTGGGAATGCCAGACCGATGGCATGGTTTTTCCTCTCAAATGTTGCAGTTCCAAACCTCTCAACGGTGATGTTCTATTACCAGACTGAGGTTTTGAACTTGGAAGCATCTTTTCTTGGGACTGCACGTGTGATTGGGTGGTCTGGACTTATGCTTGGTACATATTTATATAATCGATATTTAAAGCGTCAGAAGCTAAGACACGTCCTCAAGTAAGTCAAAGAAAAATTACTCATGGCTTCCTACTTTCTAAATCTCATGTTTATAATTACTATCATGTAGCTTTTTATGTTGGACAATTTTTCAAGATTGTTTGCATGCTTCCATTTTTATAAAAGATATTCAAAGAAATAATGTAACAGATTAATGTGATGGGAGAACATTCAAGTCCATGTTAAATCACTTTTTAGTGCTTAGAAACAACATGTTGATCTTCGAATCAGAGTAAGGATGGCCTATAACTGTCTTCGAGCCTGCTCCTTTTCTAGATCTGTTGGCATATTAGTCCTCTTGATTATTTTTTGTGGAATATAAAGATCTATGTGTTATACTTTCATTTGTTGGTCAATATATCAATAAAGACAGTGAAAGTTCACTTAGATGGAGAAGATATGCAATTATTATTTAGTACAACATCAACAAAATGTTGTTTTGTTCTAACTATTTGGGGTCGGGTATTAGTAACTGTCAAAAAAATATATCTTATGGAGAATTGTGACATATAGTATAATTCAAATTTTATACAATTTAATATTGAGTCCCTATGTTGGTGGAAAACTTGTCTATTGGACTATCCCTTATAGTATAATTTTCATTTTTAAAGATTGATTTAAACCAAGGTTTTAACTTTATCTTCCTATTGGCATGGGGTATATTAATATGCGCCAATATACCAAGCTATGCCTATGCTTGGCACGGCCTAGCTTGCTCATGGTACTGTATGAGGGAAAGGGAGAAATTGAGAATAGAGAGAAATATAAAGGGAAAAAATAGTAAGAAAATGGCATTACCTCCTTTCTTGTTTTTTGGTGGACCAGCTATGCATCTCAGTGAGGTGAATGTAGTGGACCGTGATATTTGATGAGATCTGGCCATGTTTGTCTAAATCCTTGGTTCTCAAGGATGGTTTTAAATGGCGGCATATGTTAGAATATGATAAGATTGCTGTTGCCATCATTAGTTTTCAGTACTCCTTTCTTTTTGGAAAGCAACTATTTTCTTTTGAAAAAGTAAGTATAAAAGGAGTGTAATGTCTATATATGAGAGTAACATGTTTCTGTTCCAGCAATATAGGGCAAAATGCCTGATCCTCAACTTTTAGCTGAAACTGAAATCATTGATATGAAGACTAATATCAAAACGATGCCATGATTTTTCTTATGGCATTGTAGTTATTGCAGACCATTATGATTTGAAGCACCAAGGAATAGAGCTCACCTAGGTCATGTGGCATTGGAGTTGCATGGTTATTTTATACTAACTAATTTCTGAGTTCCGAGCCGTGAACCTAGCAGTGGAATTGACCATTAAGAAGCCTTTTCTTATTTTAGTTCCATATTGTCCCTGCTCTAGCATTTCAAGCAGTTGCAGTAGCTGGTTGAGAATTTTTTTAGTTTTAGTTCAAAAAGACAATCTTTGGTAAGGGCAAATGAATTAATTAAAAATAACTAAGCATATAGGAGACAAGTATATTTGCCATTTTTAATGCAGAATCTTTTAACTTATCATTCATTATTTTTTTTATAAGCGTGAAGACAAACGAAAGTTTTTCATGTGCTTTTAAAAATTACAATTGCTTAATTTGGTACCTTGCAAACATTAACTCATTTATTCCTTTATATCATTCTCTCTCTCTCTCTCTCTCTCTTTCTCTCCCCTCCAAATGATGTTTCTGAAAAGTAACAAATTTAGTCCTGTCCTTTTGTAAAAGGTGTGCTCTTCGAGGAGTCACAGTGTCATACAACATTTGTTTATTACATCTATATAACTTTGCAGTTGTTAACCAATGGCAGTTTCCCAAGTAATACTATGCAGTGATACTTTTTAACTTAATGTTTCTAAGATTCTTATTCCTGCACCTAACTGTACTTGTGAATAACATGACAGGTATGCTCATATTGGCCTTGCAATTGTAAGCCTCTTGGACATCATGTTAGTATCTAAGTTGCATAATCAGTTGGCTATGCCAGATAAATATATAGTACTATGGGGATCCGCTTTCGGTGATGCAATTAAGCAATTCAAGTACTTTCTAATCTTTATTCTACCTTCTCTACCTATATCTATGCTTTCTTTGTCTATGATAATCCCAAGTTTGTGCAAGTGGTTGGCAATTCTTTTCTCCATGTAGTTTGAGATTGTTATCTGCGAGTAATAGTTCTGGATTATAAATTGTTTCTCATAGCATACATGATAAAGAACCCAGATAAGAAAAATGTTCACACTAATCATCCAAATTATAGAGAGATTAAACTTTTGAAGTATTTTCCCTGATGATTTTAGTGTGGAACTCTAATGTAAATTTACATCTATACCATTAAGTACAAATTGACTTATTACATCATATAGATCCTCGTGATATGCTGACATGTTGGAAATTAAATTGAACCAGTGGTGATTTAATGGACTTTCCAATTGTGTACATGTTGGTTTAATCTTTGCATTTATTACAACATTCGTCGACTGTCAGTTTTTCAGTTTGCACATTGAAGAAACCTTGAACTTGTAGGTTTTGGGATTCTTGTGCATATATGTAAAGAATCGGAGTTCATTCTCGCTTGTTTGATTTCTCAGATATCGTATCAATGATCATGTCTCTGAACTACTGTATGCTGATGTATATTCCTTTCAGCTTCAAAAATTATGATTCTTATGTCTCAAAATGTTGCTGCTCCCTGACACCCCCTTTATCATCATTACTCGCTCGAAGAGTCTGTCCATTCACCACTCTTGCAGTTTGGCAACTCACATAATAGATACTCATCTTAAGAACTAAAAATTGTAAATCATAATCAAATTATACTTTGCATGAATTATAAATAAACATGAGAGTTTTGGTGCCTTACATTATTGTACCTAACAGTTCACCAGAAGAAGTCATGTTAAACTTGAACAAGGTAAGAGAGAGCTTCATTTGCAGGAAGAAATCCCTTAAGTTGAAATGTTTCAATCCGTTCTTGACCATCAAATACATTTAATTGTACGATATTACTGCTATGTTAAGATAAAACCGAGTTTCAATCCTGCAAGTCCGGATTGTATGTTGCTGAATGAGATATTGGATTGACTTTTTTTTTTGTAATATTTTAGCTGTGACTATAGTTTCTAATGATGTTTTATATCCGATGCAGGTTGATGCCATTCCTGATAATATCTGGGCAGCTATGCCCCCCGGGAATTGAAGGAACACTTTTTGCCCTCTTTATGTCCATAAATAACTTGGGAGCCACTTTGGGCTCATTCTTAGGAGCTGCTTTGGCATCATTGCTGAACATTTCTTCGGAGTCTTTCGATAACCTTATTTTTGGTGTGGCTGTGCAACTATTAGCGACTCTGCTTCCCATAACCTTTCTGTTTCTGATTCCAAAGGAAGCGACCGGATTAACATCATAATCACGGTGATGGACCAGCAGAGAAATCTCCTTTTTGTTTCACTTTCTGAGTTCAAAAAACTGCAGTCAAAAAAAAGAAATCGAAAGGCCAGTCGTTGATCGTCTGAAAGAGCAAAGATTTAAAAACATAAAACAGTGTTGCTTCACTTTTAACTCAGCAACACAATTGCTGATTTCTGGTAAGACTAGACTAGTTGGAGCAATCATTTGAATCAATCATGAGAGAAATATTGTACCTTGTTCGATACTATCGTTCGTGTCTCCATCCGAAGGCTTAGCCGCAGTCCAATGGATGGTAGCGGTGTGTTGCTGTTTTTGTTGTCATTCAGGGAGTACAACCAAGTCGAGGAGGAGGGCGAGGAGAACTACTGGGCTTTTGGGCCTTCAACAGGCCTCATCGTTAAGTCGGCCCAATCAGCATGAATGCAAATTCCAAAGTTATGGATGGCTCCTCCTGTCATCACAACCGTCCATCTGATGCAGTTAAAGCAGGAGACTGTCGAGCTTGCAGCCTTCAGATTGCAATCACGCAGCTGATCTCACCTATGAAATTGGAATCAGTTGTGGGTTTGTAATCATGCAGGGGGATGGGTTAGGCATCCATATTTATTATTAATATTATTATTATTATTATTATTATTATCATTATTTTCCGGATAGGTAGCAGTTCCATCCTACAGATCCATATAAGCAGGAGATCTATAGGCAGGAATTGAAACTGCAATGTCCTTTAGCACTGAAGTAGGAGCTTATTTTGGGACCATCCATGGTTTTGGCCTTGACAAAAAGGGGAGATTGCTTGAAGGGGTGACTGAGAGCTAGCTTTTTCCTTTTATCGTGTGTATCACATAAAAATGCATCACAACAAGCTCTGCCATCCCCATTAAGAAGGCTCTTTTAATCTCTGTAGGGAACCCTGTATCCCCCTCTGACAGTCCGCCACCGCACCCCCATTCATAGTAGCTCTCTTTTGACCCATCCCGCCCACTTCCTTCTCCTCCTCACAGAGAGAGAGAGAGAGAGAGAGAGGAGCATACTGTCCTTGACAGCGATGCGCATACGGGCACGGGGTTATGAATGGAGGAGGAACATGTGCTGTTTGCCGGAGGAGAATTCTGGCGATGTTTCCATGTTTACTAACGACCGAGATGCCTTCCATTTATAAGCATCACTAACTGGCTCTATTTATTTAGATAAAACAAGTTTTATTTTCTGCCGCTGCACGCTTTGCGGAATAATCTTAATCACGCAGTATTTTTTTTTGGATTCAACGAAGAGTACTCCGCAGCAGCACCCGTTCGCCCATCTTTCTCATCTGTATGTAGTCTTTGGGTTCTATAAATACCACACACAAGGCCCTCTCGGTGACCCACTCCAGCTCACGAGAAACACCCATTTTGTCGCACATGGTTCCTTTGCCCATCTGCACATCGTTTCAGACAAGCCTCCTTCGTCTTCGTTTCTGGTACTTTTGCGTTGCAGGGCTGGCGAGGCTTCCGGTGCCGACGGACATTACTGAGGTGTGGCATGGCATGACATGGCATTGGTAAGATGGTTTTGCTCAAGACCGCGCAACACTTCCATATGACGGCGCATCGCTGTGCTCGCCTATCCATCATGGAGGAAGGGAGGAGGCGATAGGGCTGGACGTCGATGCGCTGCTCTATGGCCAGGCTGCGCGGTTCTTGCGCAACATCTCGCACCACCTGTTCCCTCTCTTCTTCCTCTCGTCTCGCTCGCTCTTTTGAATCTTGGAAGGCACTGACATGGTTTTAGATGATGAGAAGTTTTCGGAGAATGTATTGTCACAGGCTCTTTGATCGTCTCCCTCCTTTGGAGCTTTCGTGCAAGCATCGAGCTTCGTAAGAGAGGTTTGTCTCACATCAAATTCATCTACTCTCCTCGGAGCCAAAAAGAACCCAAGGAAGGAAACAAGCAAGGCTGCAGCGCACTTCTCTCTTCTACAAAGCATCCAGCTTCGCAAGGGGAGTAGTAGGGTTTCTGTCACCACCAGGTTTGGCCGGCTGACTCCAACTTTTGTTCCCCATCTTTTCAGTAGAGACGTAGCAGAACGTGAGCTGGAAGCGGATGTGATTGAGGAGACGGCGAGCAGAACGGCTGTCCTCCCAACACGCAGCAGCCAATTCCGCTCTTTCAAGTCGGGCATGAACCGGCCCTGATCTCAGGTTCGGCGGTCATGATGCATGCAGAACGATACATACACACGCACACATACGGCTGAGATCTGTGTGCGTGCATGGATTTGGCCGGCTTCATGTGCAGGTTCGGCAAAGATTCGAGCGAATGGCCGTGTGCTGCACGTTGGAATGTCCCATTCTTTGGTCCACTCATCTGCTTCCTGCTTAGTCCATTACATGAAGGTCGATTTCACTGCAGCAATATTGGCTGGTTATATGCGATGTGCTGAGGACATGACTCACCTCACCCAACCTTATCATCTTCTTCGAAAGGCGTAACTTAAGCATTGTAATTAGAATTCCACCCTTTTCTGGAGGTGTGCATATATAAGACTATATATAGTGAGTGATACAAGGAAGAGTTCAATGTGATTGCTGTGTGAACTTGTACTAAATCAAGCTCTTGTATTGAATTAGATCACTTGCAGTGATGCAGTTCCGTTCGCTTAGTGGATGAGTCGTCATTTGCAGCATTATTTTCTTAGCTGATGTTGATTGCATATATATAGTCCGATCTTACAAGCTGTGAGGCTGACGAGTTACAGAGTCTCAAACCAACAAAACAACATTATCTCATCCCCTCAGAAACAAAAAAGCAAAAGAATCATGTACACAAAATATTATGATGAGGCATGCAAGTTTGGGGATCCTTCTCGGTTTCTACCCAAGCGAAGAAAAGAAAAGAGATTGTCTATTGGTGGTCGGTGGCCATCAGCATCAAGACAGTGGCCATCTGACATTGATATGATTCCTGCCACTGGGATTAATCTACATGTCGTTGATGCCAAACAAATTCCATGTCATGTCCCTCTGTATTAAACATACCTCTGCTTCATCTCATCTACACAAGGATTCAGATCAGAAAACATTTTTTTGCAGGTGATTTAAGCCGAAATTTAAGACTTTATTGTAATCACACGGAAAAAGAAAGGTTAAGCAGTAAGTAGAGGTTCCAGATTGCACACAGTACACCATCAATGAGTCAGTCGATTACTGATCACACAAGAAGAGGAGGATGTAAGTTTCAGTGTTGCTGAGGAATGAGAGCAATTAGTCTCAGGTTTCAATATGATTTCATGGTTGACAGTGATAAACCAACCATGAACTCAAGATGAATGAAGACACTGTTTTTGCAGCAAGAGAATGGTGACATATCAGCCATTTATACTTTTGTATGCTAAGTTACACTTTGATTGTGGCAGAACCAAACCAATATAAATAGTCATTTTTCAATAAATTTGAATGTGCAACTTATGCCCGCCCTTCATGGAAAACCATATATTTACTGAAGTTGCAGTCGCTAACGGTACAAACTCAGAGAACCGCAGCCAATGATTCACGGATCTCAACGGTATCCATTGACCTCCACGGGAGCAACATAAACATGATCTGATCAAAGCCAATGTTAACTAGTTAGGAACATAAAATGATTCTATAAACTTACTGCAGAAGCTTCTAATTGGAACTCACCCAAAGGGGTTTGATAGAAAAAGAATACTGCAGCGATGACGACGTAGCAAAGTAAGAGGACCAGTCCTTTCAGATAGTGCCAACTTCCATCCTGCACCGAGAACACGTATTTTTCAGGCAAGTTGCATCTGAACATTACATTTTCCACACACACCAAGCACAGAGATACAGGTGGCGTTATACATAAAGCAATTCTATTCGATAAAAGTCAATCTCATAAACATAAGATGAACCTGATGTTGACAAACATTTCGACAATTGCAGTTTGGGCAAACAAATAAACATGTGCATAGCATCTAACAAGCTAATCATGATTCACAAATAGAGGATTACCAAGTGAAAATATGAGCACATCACTGTCTGTTGGTAGTCATAAACATGATTGTACCCGATAGGTTCTCTATAAGAATGGAAGTTCCTCTTCTCTAACTAAATAACTTTTATTTGAACAAGCATCAGTAGGCATTGTTGTCATGAATGATCGATCACCTAGGCTCCTGGGCTGCTAGGTCATAAACAAGGTCCAGGATGCACAGGACATGCTTAAATCACCATATGCAGAGATACAATCATAAGAATATAAGTACATATCTTCATGTCTGTGATATCTACTATGTTGCTTTATTGATAATAATGACATGGATCATATTGTTGTGAATCCATTAATATTGACGTACCTCTATTAGCATTAGTAAGAAACCCAGGGATGTACATATTACAGATCATGGGCAATCTTGAAAGTTTACTTCGTCATACTCATATGTCATAGATCATGTACTCATAATTTGTGATTGGATTGAAGATTCTTAGTAAACCCATTATTAAGGATATCATTTCATATGTTACTGACCAATCACAATCTAATAGAACATATATTCAAAATGACCTCATAGGATCACTTGATTTATCTGATTTATTCTTTTCCATTGATTTGTAAAGACCACTTAGCGAATATGTAGTTCCTCTTTCATATTACATGTATGATACTGGTATCATCTAATAACTGATCCCAAGTTACAACCACCGGATGATGACCATAGAATCACCTGAAGAGTAAAGGTGGTTATAAGAATTGCCAAAACCAAAGTTCCAGTCTCGAGGAGCTTAAAATTGAGATCCATATGGATGTCCTTTATCCAGGCCACAACAGTAGTCAATGGAACCTATGCATGTAAAGGAAGACAATTAGTCAGTTCCTCCTTGAAATAAGCAAGCTAATACGGGTTATATACAATTTCAATAACAGCTGACTAGTCTTACCAAAAACAAGGAGATTTGAGCTGAAGAGCCCAACGAGATGCCCAAGGTGATATCCTGTTCCACGGACAAATTTGGAACATTGTAATACTTAGTGCTTGTTTTCTTTCATGAAATATGAGCAGAACTTACAATTTTGTTCTTGAAAGCAAAGATGACTGCACCCGCATGTTCAGTCGCATTTCCAACAATAGGTAGCAAGATAACACTAATGAAACTAATTGGCATTCCCCACGACTCTGATGCTGCCTAAGTGCAGAGAAGGAAGTTATTGCTTTCTTTGTTTATGAAAGAAATAGACCATTAGTAAAGGTGATATGTTTCAATTTTGTTACCTCGATTGTACTAATGACATAATTTGATAGAATAGTGACAAGCATTGTCATTCCTACTAACCAAGCAAATGAGCCAGCAAATCCAATCACCGGTGTATCAGAAACAATATCATCATCCTCCTGTTAATCACCACAAAATTTAGCATTCCTAGCATTTCAAGCATTTAATCATAATTCTATCAGAAAATGTGTTGTACTCTATGCTACATAATTCCAGAAGCATTCAAATAGAGCAAAAGGGCGTAAAACCTGCTCAGACTTTTTTAAACATGCAAAATGCATCGGGCCGCATAATCCCTATATTGATGATCTAGACCTGTGTGTCATTCTTATTAGTTGTTAAGTCTTAGAATATTTTATAGTCAAGCAAATTTCTATTGTTTTTGTTCTCTCTCTCTCTCTCTATATATATATATACATATATATATATATACACATATATATACATACACATATATATACATACACATATATATACATATACATATATATATATATATATATATATTTGGATATATATATATATATATATATATATATATATATATATATATATATATATATATATATATATATATATATATATATATTTGGATATGTATATATCCAAATTTGCACCTAAAAGAAAAAAACTAGCTTTGTGTATATCCTAACCTCTTGTGATTCAAAATGTTGGCGGTGGGTCATCAGCTGGAAGAACATGCACCCAATGTAGGCAACTAGCATTGCAATGCTGCATGTCCTTGACAGTTCGAGTGTTGAGATTGCATCCACCATGTAAATATCATTTTTCACAACATAGCAGTAGGTCAAAATCAAAATGTGGCAAAGAGACGCCAGCAGGAGCAGCATTAAATTCGCATCAGCTTGCTTCTGAAGTAACATGGCAAAGTCAAACTGTTAAGGAACACTTGGATCAAATGAGCTAACTTTGGGAACTGCACTATAAAAGCATATGTTACTTCACCCTGTCAAATTGGCGTTCTTTGTTAAGATTGGCGAGACCACCACAGAAGAGGGAGGATCCAAGGACGAGGAGTAGGTTGGAGATGGTGGAGCCAAGAAGGGACCATTTGAGGACTCCTATCTTGTCTTTGTGCAGCGCTAGCAGTGCAATTATCAGCTCCGGTGCATTGCCACATGTGGCATTTAGGAGACCACCAACTGCACATGATGCAATTCAACTATAATTTCATATCAAAAGAAATCTTCAGACCAGTAGAAATCCAGACTTTGTTAGGATGCTGTGACAATACATGGATATATAACAGCCTTGATCATTATAAGTCAACCAGTCTACATTCAGAATATGGTTTCAGTTTGACTTAACTGAAAAACTCATCTAACATAGCTAGTTTTCCCGGCCCATCATTTTCCAACTCTAATATTATAGAACTTATGCAATTTGGGCTTCATTTGGAAGAAGATCTAATATTGAGATAAAACGATCTGGAAGTCATCCCATCTGGGGTGCTATTAGGTCATATTCAACTAGGATCCTAACAAAATCTGGATAAGGAGCCATGCATTCCAAAGGCGTATCCAAATACAATAACTACTGGATTTAGTCAAATATCAAAATTGTAAGCTTACTATTAGATGCAGAACAGGAATCAGCACCTAATGGACTAGTTTTAAGGATCCAAACCATTTAACCAGGCTCAATCGAATGGCTGTCTATTTCCATCAATATAAACAAGGACGAATTTAGTGCATAAGGCTCCCGCCAATGCGGGGCCTGGGAGAGTCTGGCAATTTCCATCCTGATCTCTTATCTTTGAACCAAGACCCATTATGTACATCAATATATAGCTCTTGTATGCAAATGGGTGATCAAAGCAAATTTCTGTTTTCGAAACAGTGAAACAAAATCCAATAATTTGGTTCACCAACCAAAATACTTCATTAATTGAGCTAAATTTCTCTACCTGAATCTTTAACAAACATATTTCAGTATGAATATTGTTCAAAATAGAATGTAGACCAATGTTTAAAATGTTTTTTAGAGACCACTTGCTGATAACATTTGAAGTAAAATGAACCATTCCATTAGCTGAGTTTACCTATGCGCCATATATATTTTACAAAGCTAAATGGTCTACAAGTTGGATATAGAACATCCTACAAGATCTATCAAGTTCAAGATGAAAGTGATAATAAATCAAACAAATGACCATTAATTCTAAAACCTAGTATATCAAATGTTTAACACTTTGCAAGAACACAATGCATTATTTAATTATCTTTTCCTGTAGTTCAGGATCATATGTTAGTAACTTTGCTTTTCGTCGATATTTCATGATTAACTTATGACCAAAATATATTAAGTAGATAATAATGGATCCTATCAAGAGCTCAAGAACATGAATGTAGTTACAAATGAATAATTAACCAAAGGATGCATTTACCTGTTGGACCAGCATAATATGCAATTTGCCTGTTGGGAATTGCATTAAAGGCAAACATGTCAGTTGATTTGAACCAAAAGAGAATACGAAGGAACTTAAGATTAAACAAATCTTACTCGCTGAGGAAGCTCATGCGTTCGGCAAGAGGGACGAGGCCTATTAAACTTAAGCTAAACACCCAAGCCTGTTTTGACCAATGAACCAAAAAGATAACAATCAGGTACTAAATATAAATGATATTGGAATAGCAGAGCCACAGAGGAAGATTCTTGAAAGCAAGCAACAACCTTGATCCAGGTGATAGGGAAAAGAAAGTTCAAATTAAAGTGTTACACTTTTGCCAATGGTGGTATTGTTTGTTCTCTTTAGTAGCAAAGTGATTTGTGATGTTTGTAATTATTTCCTGGTTCAGAGAAGAACATGGCATCAGATTAAGGCAGGTGATAAACACAACCAAAAAAATTCATGAAGTGATATGAGAGAGAAGCAGCAAAAGGTGAGATGAAGGATGACAGAGTAAGACAGAAGAAAATTATCCCCTTCCCCGATCATTGCGAACACCAACCAGATATTAGAATTCTCACCCATTATTTGGTCATTTAAAATTTTAGATCAATGAGGACTACTTTGTCGGTACAAGGCAGACTAGTTTCAGTAACTACAAGAGAACCAGTGCTGGACTCGGTGTTCCATGCTGCTAGAACAGCTGCAAGGAGAATTTTGGTAAGGCAGCGACTTAACTCTTGGATGAAGTAAAAGGAACTGATTTGCTGCATGAACTTTTGCCAAATGATTATATTGACTGAAAAATCCAGAGTTTACCATGTCTCTCGTACTCGGGTGAAAGCTGCGGTAGATGTATAGTAAAACTGAGTGCAGGAGGATGCCAAAGACACATCAAAGTAACAAAAGACCAAAAAGAAAACTTTCGGCGGGTGGTGTTCCTTCAGATTGAACCAAACACCGAGGAAAAGCGACGAAATCAAAACTATCCTCTTCACTCCTATTATGTTCATAACATAAACTTATCGCATTACGTTTGCCGTCGTCATAACCTAAAAAGGAAATCTTTAACATGCATTTTCCACTTCAACGAGACATCGGACCGGGGATTGGGGAGACAGGGGGATTACCTGGTCGAAGCGGAAGCAGCGAGCGGCGATGGCGAGGGGCACGACGGTGAAGAGGGGGAAGACCTTGGTGCCGAGTAAGACCTCGTGGAGGTTGGCGAGAAAGTTACGGAGGGTATCCGACCGCGCATTGACCAACATCTCTAGGTCGGACCACTTCCGCGGCGGTAAAGGGGACATGCTGCGAGCGCCGGCCATCCGCCACCAGGGAAGCCCGGCCGCTGAAGATCCCGGCCTACCACTCCGACGCCATCGTCACGTCCCTTCCTCAGCTGCAGAGATCGCGAGGAGAGGAGAGTGCCGTTGCATACAAGAGGGAGAGAGGCTTGTGATGTGGATGGGTTTCGCTGACGTGGCAACGTGCGCACGCGACGGTGAAGTCACCGCGCTACTCTTACCGATGAACAAAAATATTCTTTTCCATATTGATCCTTTCCAATTCTCAAAATAACGTATTTGCCATTTTCTTCTTTTTTTTTATATTTATAAACCTCAAATAATCTCCTCTTTTTATAACATAATAATAATTATTCAAAGAATGGTAATATATCATTTAGAGTTTCAACTCACAGCCAGTTTTTCATTTTTGGATGGATAAATAAATTCCTTTAAAAAATTCTTTTAGAATGTCTTCGCTTGTCAGATAAATCTAATGGTCAAAGTCTCATGTAATATTTAGATGGAAAGAGTTTTATATTCCTGAAATCATATAAATTAGAATTCCACCCATTGGCACATGAGATGCTGAACAGAAGATAATAATAATAATAATAATAATAATAATAGGAATAAACGAAGAGATATAATAATTATATAACATGGTGAGACCAACATAAGGAGACGTGAGAATGTGATGGACGAACATGTGCTAAAAATATATTTTTAATGAGTGTGTGTGATGAAGAGAAATACTTAAATGATTGAAATAGTTAAATTAGATCTAAATATTAGGTTTGACTCATAGTTTCAAATTTTAAAATTTAAAATTGAATTAGTGTATGATCTGATATAAATATTAATCTTGATTAATTTGACTCAGATTCGTTATTATAATATTTTCAATATGATATAAAAATTAGGCGAACTAAATTTTGATTCAAATAAATAAAAAAAATTTAAGATTTTGAGTCCAAAAATTTTTATTTTTGGTATCATTTTTAATATTTCTTCGACCATCAACAGCTATTAATTTTTGCTGCGTTAGATTGTTGTGAATAATTGTTTGATTCAGAAGGGAAATCAACTATTCGATTCATGTGCTTACTGACCCAAACCAAGTGAGGACAAATTAGGTACGGGTTGGCATGGCCTGCCGTCTAGATAATTAACGTTGTTAGATCCCAAGCAATCCATCTTTAGATCTGCCTTCTCGTCCTTGCATCTTTAGGCCACCACTTTGTTTTTTGTCTGCTAGTCTATCGTCATAAAGATTCCATCAATCTAATCATGTCATTTTTAGTATGTGATCTGCGTTGCATGTTCTTGCTTGAATTGTACTTAAATGACATGTTGATGATAATGAAAGAAGAAGAAGAAGATTGACTTTTCGTTTTCCGAGGCACTGTCAGATTTGGAACATGCGCAAGATGTTTGGATCGACGAAGCCAATCGGCACTCGTTTGCGACACGAGGCAGGCCACAGGGGCCCGTTTGCTTCACCAAAACCGGGCAGCCCACGGCTTGCACCGTCGCACAGCCCAGGGCTACACCATAGAGCAGGCAGCCACGGGTGGCGGCGGAGGCCGAGCGATGAGGGCCGTCGTGCAGCGAGTCCTCTCTGCCAGCGTCGAGGTTCGCATGGGCAATGGATCCCTTGAGACCTTTTCAGCGCTGTCTCACTCCCCCAGTCTCATCTGTAACGCAGGTGGAGGGCCGCGTGGTGTCGGAGATCGGCCCCGGTCTGCTCGTCCTCGTCGGCGTCCACGAATCCGACACCGACGCTGATGCCGATTACATGTGTGTCCGTTTCTTTCATTCTTTTGATTGTTGCCGCAGATTGTGTCTGCCTCTTTGCGACTATCGTCGTAGATTAACCATCGTCGTTCTTCCGATAATTTGCTTATCTAATAGATTGATATAGAATTAGGATGGCGTTCCGCTGCTGAATAATTCCTAATTAGAGGAGAAATTGGCCTTTCCAGCCATGTCTTGGTTGACGGAGAAGAAGTTTGCTCATGCATCATCAATTAGACATGGTGTATCACATGGAAAAAGAGTTCATAGGGTTTGATTGAAGTTATTGGCATTGTGGAAGCCATTTTTTGGAGGATCAACGATGGTGTCAGTAGAGAAGTCTTTTATGACCAAATAAGAGAGGAATGTTGTGGTCATCCTAGAGTACAAGTAGGATATCAGATAAATTCAAACCAACTTAAGTTCACAAGCACACGAAGGGGAATCATCCACTGAAAGAGCGCGGAAATGTCAGCCTACACGATTGCCCATTTGAGAGACATTACTACTGATTGTGACAGAAGATTTCCATGTGATTCATTTGGCACTCGAGAGTTCACTTTTTTCCTTTATCTGTCATTAATAGTTGCGCTGGTTAAATTGTCCGTCGAGGAACTCATGTATTGGTTATCTGCAATATTGTTGACAAGAATAAAGAGTTGAAAGCTAATTGAAAATCTAATTTAGGAGAAATCTAGGAATTGCAATTTAGCAGAGCAGTGGTGCATGGTTAAACTCAATATTGTTAAACACTTTTCTGGTTTGCCTTGGGTGTTGGCAATTTTTGTTCAAAAAACAAAAATGAAAACCTCAAAAGATTGAAATAATACTGAAAAAGTATGCAATATAGCTCATTGAAAATATTAATGGATGTGTCTCTGTGATGTTGTTTATGATTTGTTGTATTTCTACATATGTAGAATGGTGAAAATGAGTCGTTCAACATGAAAGGCGTACATTACATGTAAGCATTCTCTTGTGCAATTGCAGATGTAGGAAGGTCTTGAATATGAGGTTATTTTCAAATTCAAAGACTGGAAAAGCATGGGATCTGAGTGTAAGCATTTAAACAAAATGCATATATCCTACATGGATTTTGATTTCAATAAACTGTGATCTACCAAACTTTAGCTCTGGAAAGTAGAAATTCTCTAGAGTTAAATCTAAATATTATTTAAAGAATTCTTCTTCTCTGGCAGGTTAAACAGAGTAATTTTGGAGTATTACTGGGTATGTATTAGCACTCCACAGTTCCTTAAGCTAATCGATAGCTACTTTCCATAGACATCTATCTGATGCTTGATAAATGATCCTTTCCTTTGTTGCCTTTCTGCTTTCTTCAGTGAGCCAGTTTACCCTATATGGTATTTTAAAGGGTAACAAACCAGATTTTCATGTTGCTATGCCACCTCAAAAAGCAAAGCCTTTTTATGAGTCACTTGTTGAAAAATTTCGCAAGTCGTACACTTCAGATGCAGTTAAAGGTATTAATTATATTTGAGTTGGTAAATTGCTTATTATTTTATCTTGCACACCTGATAATGACCAAGCTAATTATCGCTGACTGTAGAATTTTGGTTTCCTACAATTAAACACTTAATTATCATGATGCATCAACAGTGCGATCTCCAGTTGTATCCATATTAATATTGTAGTGGTTGGATAATAGAGCTTCACATTTTCATGTTCCAATATATATTTGTTATTCAAGAAATGTAACTGTAAGTTAGAAAATTCTATTCTGCTTCCTATTCTTTTTGTTAATTTTTCATTGACCAATTAAGAAAATTCATGTTTATGATTCATCCATAAGTTCCTCATCACAAAGAAGCTGAGTCCTAATGTCTATATTCCAAACCTCCCTTGAATGCTCAGTTGTTGGCCTATGCTGCTTCCATTAGGATTTCCTGAGCATGGGAACCTTCCCAGCATTCTTAGACGTCATTAGTAGGTAAAGGATGAGACTAAGGATCTGATGGACATACTTGAGGTACATCTCTTGTTAGTTACCACCTTATCAAATGGAGAGATTTCCACATGAGTTTTACATGGATGAACAAGGTCGAGATTTGGCAATGTAGAGAGAACCGACTGTGATTATCTAGAACTTTCTTGGTGGTGCTAATTACTTCCTGCCAAGGGGTTTTTTTTATACAGTTTAGCTTTTTTCCCCTCCTTTCTTCTAAAAATAGTATATTTAGTAGAACATTTTCTCATCATCATGCTGCTTTTAGTGCCTCATTTATGGCTATGTTTGTTAATATTAATTGGCCAATCAATTGCTAATATTACAAAATCTAAAGTTGGACAAAATTGAAATTTTATAAGTTGACTAGAGGCTTATCCTTGTGATTAGTTGCAACTTAAATAACTAGTAGTCAAGTGGCACCACCTAATAGGCGTACCTATTTAGAAGAGGGGTGGAAGAAAAGTTGGTTAAATCATGTGAGGGGACACTCATAAAAGATTGTCCTCTTTGTTTTTCTTATTAGTCATTTGTCTTCTTTCTTACCCTAATTTCCATTCCTATTTGGGTACGATGTTATTGCTCGAAAATAAGAGGCTTGAAGTCGAGTTTCAGAGGATTTTTGCAAGATACTGTTGTCATCCTAATTGGAACTTAAACATAATTGAACCTAATAATAATATCATTCGTGAAGCCAGTAACTTTTGTCATCTATTTCTTGTGTACTTCACCAAATCTGCAACATAATGGGCACTATTTACTTGTTTGTGGCACAAAAATTCCAATTTATTGGATTAAGACATGACACGTTGACAACCAAATCCATATAAGGTTAAGTTCAACTCTTATTGGGTTATTCTGAGAATTGCAACTCTTCAGCATGATGCAAGCAAACACACCGTATTTAAATGCTTGGGTTCCAGATCTTTCTCGAGGAGTATGGCTGACATTGTCTTGATATTTTTTTTTATTAAAATTTCAAGTAGATATGTCTGTTATGTCCATTTTCTGTTGAAAAGAGTTACTAATAATGCAAACTGTTTGACTGCATTTATACCCTTAAGTACCTTATTGTACTTTACCTTATGCAATTCTGATCATGTCCCCTCAATCCATCAGATGGTGTTTTTGGAGCGATGATGAAGGTTGGTTGACACAAAAAGATCTTTTATACTTCTTTTATGCTAATCTTCTGTTTGCTGCTGCTCATAATTGAAGCTGTGCAGGTTAATTTGGTGAATGATGGTCCTGTCACGATGCAACTTGATTCATCAGTGTCATGGTGAGCTCACTCTGCCGTAGAACTATAAAGAAATATGGAATATATCAAAATTTTGTGTGACATGCCTGAGTTGACTTTTTTTGTTCTATTATTTCGGGACATTGTGATGGATCTCTCTCAGCTCTGGTTCCTCTGAGGTGGTGGAAGTTGGTGAACAATGAGTTCAACCAGTATGAAATCCACTAGGCGTTACCATTAGGTGTGTGTGCTCTTTTTTAGTGTGACTGCATGAGGATGAAAGTGAACCGAGAAACTTTCGTCATAATGCAGTTGTGAATTTTCTTTATGATTTGGTAGTGACAGAAAAAAAAAGTATCCGATCTTCTATCAGTTACATAATTGGAACAATTGTATTCTCAGATTTCAATGATTTTGCACTCATCTAATTATTCTTTTTATATATTTGCTGACATATTTGAAGTTCTATGAGCACATTAGGATTAAATTGCTATATTTTGATAAAGTTAAGGATCTAATACAAGTGAAAAGATCGCGTGTGATTCCATTCCTCAAGTTGACCTTATATATAAGATCGAAGTACTCTGGAATTTTGTAAGTAGGATGAGCAGAAACCAAACAGGTATTTGGGTCTTGAAAAACCATAGCACTAAGTACAACTTAAACTCAAAAAAATTTATAGTGAAGGATGCAGACCTTCTGTAGCAGTTCATCAGCCAAAAATTATCCTACCTTCTGGTCATGCTTGGTTGCAACTTGGGTTAATTTATGTTGGTCAGGATGAGCATCTAATGGGATCTGGTAGACTAGTCATGCCAAATCTATTTAGGTGAACCAAGATGATGAAAATGAAGATGACAGACTGTAGAGATATCTGCCAATTGGGTTGGAAGATTTCAACCAGAAAAGCTTGCAGATTTACATGGTTGGTGTTTCCTTTTACTTCTTGTTTTCCATGATCATGTGAAGGGTTATCAGTCTCTGCTACAACAATTGCTTGCTGACTTGTAACCAAAGTGTTGTACATAGTAAATTGTAGTAAATTTCAATGCAAAGATGCAATAGTTTCTTGATATTTGTGTTGTGTGGACAAATTGTTTGAAGTTTGAACACCAAGCGGCATGACTTATGAGAAGGTTTCTTTGGCTTTGTCACTGTCATCAACCTGTTTAATTATCTGTATCATTATAATGCTTTGAACAGGCCAGCGTGACTTGTGATGAGGATTCTTAGCCTGTCTTGTCATTGTGGTTTACCTGTTTAATCATCTCTACCAAGTCTGATATCGTCCAGTAGGTTGACCAAATTAATCAATACAATAAATGACTATAAGAACATTTCAGAAGTCCTTTATTGCATGGTATTATAAAGTTGATAACGTGCATTATCAAGTGGATGAATGGGTCATCAAAGGTGTCATGTGGACATGAAAGGAGGCGTTGGGTCAACGATGAGGAACAGTTCGGGAGTTGACCCATTCAACAGAAAAGAAACTTAAGTTACCCAACTTTCCTACCTTTCACATCAACCCACCCAGCGGTTCGAGAGACCGGTCCTTATGGCAGGTAGCCCTCTGGGTGGGCGGCGTTGGGTAGCGTTGGGTATCGCTCCTCAGAAATAATTAATAGAACTAGCCTTTCGTGTCCATATGGAATACATGCGGGTCCCACAGGAGCTCCCAAATCATATAGTAGGTACTTCGAGATGGTTGAGCGAGGAACGGCTTCCCACGGCCGCTGCCAATCGTGAAGAGACTTCGTCCGCCTCGTTCCATATTCCACCGAGACATCGCCTCCGTCGTCGAGCTTGGCAATTCGTCGGTCCATCTTCCTCCTCATTCTTCTTCTCTTTCTCTATCTCTTTCCTTCTCTCCTTTGGATATAAACACGACTCCCAAAAAGAGCCTAAAAGAGAGAGAAGGAGAGAGAGAAGAGAGCAGAGCAGAGCAGAGCAGATCAGAGGCGCGTTGGAGGAGAAGAATGGCGTACATGGCGGACGAGGACTACGACTACTTGTTCAAGGTGGTGTTGATAGGGGATTCCGGGGTGGGGAAGACCAACCTGCTATCCCGCTTCGCCCGCAACGAGTTCAGCTTGGAGTCCAAGTCCACCGTCGGCGTCGAGTTCGCCACCCGAACCATCCATGTCGACAACAAGCTCATCAAGGCCCAGATCTGGGACACCGCCGGCCAAGAAAGGTCAGAATAAGGCCACCTCCCTTGCCTTCCCGTTTGCCTCCATTGGCCTGGTCATTCACCTCGCCCTGCATGATATCCACCTCGTTCGCTCATGATTGCACATGTTCCAAGTCTATGTAGGTTGAACATCACAAGTTGAGTACTGCTTAGCCTCGACAGGAATTATAAGTTACGGATGCCCGATTCTACTTGTGAGGTCAAACCAACAAAACAATACTTGAGATTTTTTATTCCCCTTGTTGGTTTCTCTTGGATCGAATGTTATCATGTCTGTCCAAGTTCCATAGCCAGATAAATTTCCCTGTAGGCATGCATTGGATTTGGAACATGCATCGGCGATAAGCTTCTTTTTCTTCCTTTCAGTAGAAGGTCAAAGATCAAGTCTCAGTAGGTGAATCCTCGAAAGATATCATATTAGGCATTATGGTAGCAAACCAATCACGAGGCTATGATCTTTTCGCATCAGAAGGACGAAGAGCGTGTGAGATGTGCTTGTGGAAATGCAGGAAATACTTACTGCTACTAATAGTTGCTAGTATATCTTGCACTAGAACAAACATTCACCTTTACATGTCCTCTGCTCCACTGTCCACCACTTCATGCCATTGTTTTCGGATCTTATCTTTAGGTATCATCTTGCAGCTTTCTTTTAATTTGCGTACGTACTGCTGCTACCGTAACTTGACTGGAATGCGAATATGAATGTTTCTCTCTGTCCTGTTGATGCTTGTTTCTACAGATATCGAGCAATCACTAATGCATATTATAGAGGATCTGCTGCTGCGCTCGTCGTCTACGATGTGACTCGCCATGTCACCTTCGAGAACGCGGAGAGGTGGCTGCGGGAACTGCGGAATCACACGGATGCAAACCTCGTCGTCATGCTTGTGGGCAACAAGGCAGACTTGGGTCACATCAGGGCGGTCTCAGTGGAGGAGGCACAGGCCTTCGTTCAAAGGGAGAGGCTCTTCTTCATGGAGACATCTGCCCTCGACTCGACCAACGTGGAGAATGCCTTCACCCGAGTGCTGACGCAGATCCACCACGTAGTCAGCAACAAGAAGGTGCTTGGTGTGGGTGCTGATCCTGCAGCTTTGCCTGGAGGACAGACCATAAAACTCAACACCGAGGATGATGATGATGATGTGCGAGCTGTCAAGAAAACCGGTTGTTGCTAAGATTAGCCACTCGTTCATCTCTACGATCTTTAATTTTCGTGTGGCATTTCTTCTGTAAAGCTTGAGGAAGGCCCTTCATGGAGATAAGGCTCAAGAACACTGGTTACCATGGAGGTTTTGTAGGTTGTAGGAAAGCACGGTCTTTTTTTCTTATTCTTTATTGAAAGCATAGTTCTCTTGCATCTGTTTGTTTCCATGGATTGTGTATCATCAACTGATATAACTGTTTCATATGCCAAGCGAACATGTTTTCTCTTGGATTATTGATCTACATAAGCTTATTTGTTCTGCGACTGCTGTAATATAATTCTAGGGAAATCTGAACTTGAGAGTCTTGCATAAGATAAGTAGACACCGCTCCAGCTGGAAGTCATACATCAACTGGAATAGGCATCATCTTCTGTTTAAGGCTTCAATTTATTTTCGATGAATCTGTTTAAATCGGCTTATAATTTCCACTAATCAGGTTTAATTAGATGAGGATTATATATATATATATATATATATATATATATATATCTGAGTATGATTCAAGTATTATGATAGGTTTAAGTTGGGGAAGGAGGTGTTATGATAGATCTTGCATTAACTATGAACCTGAATCGTTTGATTGGCTACCAAACCAACACATGATTTAGTGAGACTGGATATACGGAAGAGCCTATGATATATTACGACTGAATACATAACCTTGCTGCAGAAGTGCAGCGCTAAATGCAAAGTGAAGATTGTGCACTGAGACAGCACAAGGATGGCTAAGCCATGGAAGACAAACGAAGCTATAAGATTATATGATACTTATGCCCCCTAAACATACTGGAGACTAACGAGGACGACGATACACCATCATACTACCACAGCAGCAGCCGAGCGAAAACAAAATACGGAGCACCACCAACAGCAGCTACCCGCTGTATATGCGATCATTTATCTGTGCCAGTACATCCTTGGACTCCTTTAGCAGAGTGATGCTCTTGCGGAGCCTCTCCCGCTTAGCTGCAATGGTGGCGGTCTCCTCCATCATTCGCTGCAGGCCGGTCATGCCTTCCCCAACCAGGTTGTTCATGATCTCCACCTCTATCTCGTTCTCCACCAAGCACTTGATGGTGTAGAGTATGTGCAGGGCCATTCCATCCACCAGCCTCAGCAGGACACTCTTCCAGTATGCCATCAACCTGGTTCTCAAGTCGAAGGCCTGGACTGCCATCCCCCCGTAAGGCCTCAGATGGCAGACGTCCACTGTCCCGAAACCACTGAGCTCCAACATGGTCGATCGACTGTGATCATCGATGACCACCTTGAAATCTCGCTGGCCATCCATCAATTCCGTCCATGTCTTGATGTATTCGGTATTCCAAGTGTAGTTGGCGGTCATCTCCATTTCTATGATCTCCTGGACAAACGCCAGAGATTTCCGCCTCATCTTGTTGACGACGTCTTGTGCTGCTACCCTGATTGAAGATTGAAGCTGCGGGAAGTTTTGGGATCGCAGCAGCAGCACCCGAACCACCACATCCTCGACGTAACCCCATACCTCGAGGACGAATTGGTGAGGGGCGTCCGCGACCATCTTGATCTTCCTCTTCAGAATGGTGTGGAAGGCGGTGGGAGGTAGAAAGTTGGGAAGCCCGATGCCCATCACCTCCTCCAAGACATCGATCTCCTCCATCAGGAACTTGTCATCGGTAGTAGGACACTGAGAAGGAAGTTGGTTGGCGTAGTGGATGTGCATGTCGGCAACGCGTGCTGTGGCGTGCATGTCCACGTCGTCAGAGAACTCTTCGAAGTCTCCTCGTATGAGTAGCTTCCTCAGCGACTCCTTCGAGGCACCCAGGATGCGCATGAAAGCCCGCACAGCGTCGGCGATGGTGGAGAGATGTTGTGGCATTTGTTCGAGCTCCGCGATGTTACGGTTAAGCTTGTCGTTGATCTTCTTGGCGATGTCGGGCAGGCACTTGGCGATGCTCGCCGTCTGGATCTGCGTCAGCTTTTGAGCGAGCATCTGGACTCCGACGATGGACTTGTCAATGCAGGAAAGCAGAGGATGTTCCTTGAAGAGCTTCATCTCCTCATCTCGAGCTTCTTCGTACGTCTCGTTGCCGACGCGGTTGCGGACGCAGACATAGCCGAGGCCGATGTTCACGTCGTCAGACGTCACCTTCTCGAGCAGCCCCTCTGGCGCCTTGTCGGCTTTGGTGACGACGGCGAGGGTGCGCTCCCCGGACTGTCCACCCGCTGGGACATCCGGATGGACTCGCAGGTGGGGAAGTCGACGGTGGCGGAGAGGACGTTGAGGATGATGCTCTCCTTGGGTGTGATGTACTTCATTATGATCTGCGATATCTGCTCGTAGATATTCTCCGGCTGGCCGTGGACGGGGACGCGGGTGATGCCGGGCAGGTCCACCATGGTGAGGTCAGGGACGCCCTTCCTCTTCACGATGAGGGTGATGGGAACGTCGGAGATGCCCTTGCTGGTGCCGGCGATCTCGTTGGTGGCCGCGTTGATGGCGTCTGGAACAGCGGATTCGGAGGTGGTGACGACCTTGCCCTGGTACTCGAGCTGCAGATGGGGCTCCTGGGCGGAGGGGTCGTTCTGGAGGCGCATGATGAGGGGAACGCGGGTGCAGATGCCCTGCCCACGCGGCAGGCTGATGCCGGCGATGGACTCGAGGACGCTCGACTTGCCGCTGGACTGATCGCCCACGTCCACGATGGTGGGCAGCTCGATGCCCTCCTGCATCACGTTGAGGTGGCGCAGGCGGTCGACGGCATCGAGGAGGGGGCGGATGCGTTGGTTGTAGGAAGAAGCAAGCGCGGCCATATTGGAGCACCTTACTCTGCACTCTCTCCTCCTGTTGTTGCAGGAGCCGGACTTAATCGCGTAGCACATATATATAGACAGTCTTCAACTTACTTAACACGCAAGTCTTCATCTTTCCTTGGATGTTGGAAACAGATGTTTCTATTCATAGGTAATGTCTCCCACATAAATTTTTTTGGACCAGAAAATGATGTGTTTTATTATAATCGATATGTTTCATCTCTGAATCTTCATGTCATATATGAATGTTTTTCCATCACTTTTGTCACTGTTATTTTCTTACTTCATCAGCAAAGCACCTGCTGTCCCATTCGAGCACTTTATTTTCTTTTCTGCTCTCTTTCACCTTTCTCTTTCTTTCGGCTTTGAACTGTTTCTTTTCGTTTCCGTACAAAAAAAGAAGAAAGAGAGAGAGAGAGAGAAGACAAAACAGCAACACGGATACTGAACTGATGGGCAATTGCAATTGCTTCTCGCCATGGCTGGAATCCGATTCCTATACGAAGGGACGACTCGGGTGGTCCATCGACTTTGGTGGTCGGCGGTTTTCGCCAGTCGCCCACCAACGTAAAGCGGTCGGAATCGGAGGCCAGCCTTCGTCGGCAAGCAAGCGAGCGAGCGCGCGAGCACAAAGGAAGTGGCCATCTGCTTGTCCTCTGCAAAATGGGGGAGGAATTTAATCTCACTTATCAACATTGTGCTACGTCAAGTTTTTGTCTCATTGTTACTCGAGAATGAAACATGTAATGCCAATATTTAGTTTGGGGAAGAATTGAATGCTCCTATTTAGTCACACAATTATGTTAGATTTTATGATCTTTTATAATTTGATAAGATATATATAATATAATTAATTAAATTTTAATAAAATATATTTTAGTTAATAAAAAAGAATATAATTAAAAAATCATCTAATAACTCATTCTAGATAGTCTACTCTTACTTATATATAAACAGGATTTCTAGGGACAGAAACAAGAGGAATAGAGAGTTATCTCAGTTATGAAAAATTTCCTTAGATATCGTTAAGTCAGATCTAATTATTTGATTTCAATCACATAAAAGATTATTTTTATATTTAATATAATATATTACAGATTTTATGCTTTTACTTGTCTTGCGTCCAAACAGCAGTATTTCATTAAAAGAAAAAAAATACTTTACTTGCAACGCGTTCTAAGTTCAACCCAAAAAAAAATTCTAGTGCAAAACACAAGCCGAATCAATCATGGTGATAAATCCTGCCTGCAAGCGATTCCTCCTATCCCTGCTTTATGTACGACTGGCTGGAGTGACATGCTGCATATGTCGTTGTTGGAATCGAGTTCCAGGGGAGGAGGAGGCCGCAAGGAAAGAGAAGAAAATGGCAACTCATGCGGCGGAAGATGACCAGGAGAAGCAGCCTCTCATAAAATATGAGGAATCATCGGTCGACGATCCACCGAACTTGATTCAGAAGGCCTACCGCAGCACCGCCGACCTCGCCAACCACCTCCCGACGGGGACGGCGCTCGCCTTCCAAGTCCTCTCCCCCGTCTTGACCAACCAGGGCCGCTGCACCGACGCAAACCGGGTCATGGCGAGTTGCCTCCTGGCTCTCTGCGCCCTCTCGTGCTGGCTCCTCAGCTTCACCGACAGCTTCCGCGACGAAGCCACAGGGCGGGTCCGCTACGGCCTCGCCACGCTCAAGGGCTTATGGGTCATCGACGGCCTGAAACCGCTGCCGCCGGAGCTGGCCGCGGGCTACCGACTCCGCTTGGTGGACTTGCTGCATGCCTTCACCTCGCTGCTGGTGTTCGCGGCGGTGGCGTTGCTCGACAAGAACGTGGCGTCGTGCTTCTACCCGACGCCGTCCGAGGACACGCGGCAGGTCCTGTCGGCTCTACCCGTCGGGATCGGAGTTATCGGAAGCACATTGCTTGTTGCTTTCCCCACCAGCCGCCATGGAATTGGATTTCCGCTCTCTCCCGATACATGATATCTTGCTCGACTGCGTCTTTCGCTTGTTTGTCGGAGAACACCTGAGCATGCGTTCCATGTCTGTAACGATTGCACACTCGAGGAAAAGAATAATCTCAATTACAATGTTGCTTTCAAATAAGACGTCGAACTTAACCTTACACATCCTTCGATTGCGGACAGGCAAATTCAGATTGCTGCAAACACGCACTCTGTTTGACTGCTGCAAACACAAGAATGGAGGACCACTGATTACTCGTTGCTTAGATGCATGCTAATTAAGCATTTAATGACAGAAGATAAAAAATTTTCAACTATACAAGGAAATCTTTCTATTCCGTAGAAAATTTTTTCTCCTAATTTATATAAATAGGGGAAGGAATTAAAGCATTTTTATTTCTTCAATAAAACTTCTTCACTTCTTTTTCAATAAAGTTTCTATAATAACTATTCTTATCTTTTATTCTTTTCATCATCTGCATCTTATTTACAAGATACACTAAGATTTAATAAATATAGAGTATTTGATCATGAACAATACATTGTTCATAAAAATTTAATCTTATTGAAGATAGGATAAAAAAAACTTATATATGAACAAATACTAACAGAAGAATTAAACTAAAAGCATAATCACATAAAAGACTAAGATTTATATAAAAAATCTCTCTAATTAAAAAAAATAAAAATAAATCAGAAAAATAAATTCATCGTAAAAATAATGAATATACATATCTAAACAATAATTATAAAAAAATAATAAAAATATAAAAATTATATTACTGTATATGATATCATCATGTTTTTTTTTTTTCTTTCTTGTTCTACTGCTCTCAAAAGAGTAAGAGTTTAGATCAAAAGAAAAAAAAAAATCAACTACTGATGTGAGCTATGGGTTATTAATGTCGATCATAAATAAATAGGCCTAAGTGCTTGCGAAACCACGAGAGATTTTGAATCTACCTCAAATTAAATAGCGTCCCAACTTATCAACACAATCTGTAATCCTCAGCTCCATTCCACGTAACACCGTTAATTATTCCATCTCCTTCGTATCTAACGCCGTCAATTCTAACGTGCCGTTAAGTATTGGTCTGACGTTATCAAACCCACCGCTAGGTTGTCCTCCTCTCCGTCTCTCTTCTATTCCTTTCTTCCCGCAGTCTTTTTTTTTTGGTCTCCTGTTTTCTTCTGTCTAGAAAGAAGAGGAGTAGAAATCGGAGCGAGGAAGGGAACTCGAAGGAAAAATCGTGGCATCTGGATCGAAGAAAGGAGACCGATCCAAGTCCCAGTTTTTGCATCGACGGAAACCCTCGCCAATTGATTACGTATGGGTTCTTGTTCCTATAGGGACCAATATTGTTGCATTTTTCTTCTCTTTTTTGATTGAATCTGTGATGTGCTCTCCAAACCCTAACATGGACGTTTCTCTCTGAAAGACCGCGTTCTTTCGATACAAAAGGGCCTCGATTTGATCTGTCCTGCGCCTTCTCTGAAAATTATTGCTTCTTGTGTGACAAGACTGAATTTTGAAGCGATCTACCGTTGTATTAGTTCTTCTTCTTTTTTCCGTATGGAATTAGGATGTTTCGGTCAGATGAATTAGTTGTTCCCTGTCCATGGGCATTGATGATACAAAATTGTTCTTTATTAACATGTCATAGCAATTAAGAGATCCATCTCATCTACTTTTCGTTTACGTTGTCCTAATTTCTACAGTTCGATGTGAGATGCGTGATATTCTCATGACAATGCATTTGCCTTTCTTTATTGACTAAATTTGTTATATTTAGGGGACTTTTTGCATGGTCATAGAGATAACACAGATTGGGTTAAGCACAATTTGAATTTGTTCTCTATGTGCTCTCAGATCGCTCCTTGTTGAGTGAAAAATGCAGATTGACCCAGCCAATATAAAGAAATGGAATGTCATATACCCGGTGTACATTAACTCAAAGAAGACAGTTGCTGAAGGCCGCAGGATTAGTGCCACAAAAGCATGCGAGAATCCCACTTGCATTGAGATTGGTGATTGCTGCAGCTATCTCAAGATTCCATTTGCTATCGAGGTGTGCCAACTTACAATTCTCGCTTCTGCCTTGGTTGCACTGAGGTTGCAAACTATTGTTACATCTTACTTTGTTGATCTGTAGATGCATTCAAATGTTTGCAGTTAGACAAGGCGTATCCTCGGGACTTCATGCAAAGGGGGAGGGTCAGAGTCCAGCTTAAAAGAGAAGATGGATCTCTCTGGAATTCTGAAATCGATTCAAGTAAGGATCTTTATATCCAGAGTCTTCTGCATAGAGTATTATCCTATTCCCTATTCATGTAGTATAAAAATGTCATTGTCCTAGCCAGGTATGCCAACTGTGTTATAGATGTTACTTAAGAATGTTGAATTAAATGTTTTAGACATTGGATGATCTTCAGATTATTCTTTTTTATGTCATTGGAAAGGACAATTTAAATCTTCTAAGATAGAAGAAAAGGTTTTATCTGGAAGACCATATACTTAAGGTATCCCTAAATCAATGTGAAACATATAACAATAGAATGAAAGCTCAGTATGTACATTAGGAATATGGGTTGTAGTAAAAATAGATGCTAGTGATGGGAAGAGAAAAATTTCAACATTCATTTTATAGACGACAAAGAAAACTGTAAATTTACATGCTAATGTGCTAGAGTATTTGACTATTGAGGAAGATTTTAATTTTTAGAAAAAAAATAGACTGTTAGGTCAGTGATTGAGATGATGTTTACAACACTGGTGTTCTTTCTTTGAGATAGACAGGAAAATTTAAAGAACATTTCATTATGAGATATGAAACAAGCATTCACAGCAGGAGGTGTGATTGCCATGTTGGGCAGGAATGAAGAAGATTTGAGAGAGAAAAAGGGTAATGTGATTGTTGATTTTTCTGTATGCTGTGGTCTTTTAATTGCCAATAGTAGGTTCAAGGATCTTATAGGAGTGAACTCATCTATCTAAGAATTGTCCGTGATAGCAATCACCATCTTGGCCACAATGGTGTTTTGGGCTTACAACTACTACATTGCGACAAGTGTTTCTGTGGTTTCAAAGTTTGTGGCGGTTGGCATGGTTGCCACTATAACAAGATCCGCTTGTACTTACAACAAGAAGTGAGAATATCCCAACTATATATAATTATTTATATATAGTACTGAGTAGAAAAGATAAAAGATTTAATAATAAGCACACACAACATGCCTTTGATAATGAGATGCAATCTTGAGGCCAGTACATGAACAGAATGAGATGATTCAATCCTTACCCTTGTTGGTGGTCGACAAAGTCAATTTCATGCTAGAGAACTTCCGTCTGGATGTTGTTAATTTTTGGATTATCATTGTGAAATGTTCAACCTATTGGTTTTCTTCTCATTTTGTGTCTTGTCAATGGACTTACTGGGTGTCGACATGCTACAGAAAAGCAACTGATGCTGAGGATCGCAGAGTTAATCCCGAAGCACCATGGAAGGACCAAGAAGCAGGAGCCCGTCAACACTTCAACTGCTGCAGGACCTTCAAAATCCGGAAAGGGAGGAAGAAAGAAAAAGTGATACATCGTCTCTCAAAGAGTCTGTCACGACCTGTGAGGGCGTTTTCACTACATTGGAACCTTACTTTGTCATGACAAACAAATCCCTCTAGCTCTGGCTTCTCTACATTTTTATCTTGTCGCACTGTTACTTTCATATAGGAGTATTTAGCTTCATTATTCGACAATGTTCAGTGTCACCATTTTGCTGCAAAATCTCACTGGCTTTGTTTGAAACATGGATTGGTAAACTGGAACTTCTCCCCCCTCCATTTCTTCTCCTGCAGCTGACAACTTGAGAGTACAAAGATTTGGCTCAAATTACTCGAGACTGTGTCGCTGCCTTCCACAAAGATGCATGTCTCTAACATACAATCCATAAAAACCAATGCTTTCCTTCTAACCAGCAAAAATGAAGGACATGCTTGCATAAAACATTTTCTATTTTGTACATGTGTGAACTTGCTTAATATTCATCCAAGTAGCTGTACAGAGAGTCGTCCATCCATGACCTATTCCGCTTGAGCAGGGACTTGAGAAAGCCTCTCTTCTTGTTCGGAGTCTCTTTGCGTTCAGCACGCAAGCTTTTTGGAAGTGAATTTTGGGACTCCAGATGAGACTGCAATTTCACCAATAGAAGAGAATAGTCGTCAATCGTGGAAGAACTCTTTCTTTTTCTTTTTTCATATGTGATCATTTGCGACGAAAAGACCACAGAAGAAGGAACCAAATCATCCCACCTGCTTCGATGACTTGGGAACGGTTGGTCTATTTGCTGCCGATCTTGTTCGTGCAAGTGGATTAGAAGCTCCAAGCGGCGAGGTTGATCTTTTCTCTAGATTAAAAAGATGAAACTACGAATCATATGCATCTCAACTTAATGAAAACAGTATTAGCCAATTCCAGTTAGAGAGTACCCTCGGAAGAGATCTTCTCTGCTTGTGGTGAAGGTGAAGTCGAACGTCTGCTGCGAGAAGGTGATGAGGAGTGCTCTCTTGTCGAAGGAGAAGTGGATCGTGAAGGAACATTCCTACATGTAGCACCGAATACTCATCATTAAACTTCACCAATCTGGACTCGGATTCAACACTTCCAGCTTCCTTAAATGGGGAATGACATTTACCTGATCGGAGATGTGCTACGCCCGATCGCTGAACAAGCTTGCGAAATGATCAAAATGTTCTTATGTTTTCTCAGCCATATATATTCATTCATATGATACGAAAATTAGAACTATACCAGTCTGATGCTGCTGTAATTTGTAATTGTCCTCGGGTGGATGAAATCCTTCATCCATAAATTCACCTAATCACAGCAGAAAGAGAAGAAAATGCAGTATTACTAGTCATCCAATCCAAGCAATATCCAGAATGATGACTGCATTATTGCAGATGGATGCAGTAAGTTTGCCTGGCAGAATGTAGCGCTCGTGATACTTGGGAGGTCTAAGCGAGAGAGATTGCTGAGAAAGGCCTTCGTGGTCGATCGACGCTTGCCATGTACGAAGTCTCTGTAGCAAGAACGGTAGAACAATGGTGAGACGAAGCGCTCTTACGCTTCGAGCATGATAGGTGAAAGGTAATCGACCAAATGGTACCTGCTCGATGCAAGACACTTCAGATTCTGCGACTGAGACCTCATCAACCTCTTCGCTGACAACACTGTTTACCTTACACGACACTGAACCTAAATGATCCACAGCATTGAGAATGGCCTTCACAGCATAATCCTTCAGACTCGTCACCAATCTGCAGAGTAGCTTCGAATTAGGAGGAAAGCTTCAACCATTTCAAATCTCATCCATCGGAGAAAAGTTGATCCAAACATACATTTCTTTCTGGTCATCGTTGATGTAAGATAGTTCAAAATATGCTGCTGCAGAGTATAACTGTGACCGCATGTTCCTCAATCCCTGAAACCCAGAAAGCAAGAAGGAAGAAACCATGGTCTAATTTTATGTCCATGTACTAATAATGTACATGCGCTCGAGGACAACAAACATGGTAGAACTCTCATTTGACTAAAAAAATGGCATATTTAATGCAGAATACAATCAAGATCTGCAGAATAAACATCTAATGGGGATTCCAAAGATCTATATCTAGTCTCCCTCTAAGCTCACATAAGACACAGTGCAGTGGCTATAAACCAATGGGAATGTGAGTACCTTGAGACTCTCTGACAAGAGCAGGCTCTGTTGGATAGGGAGGCCATCCGAGCTTGATATCTCCTGATGGATGGGAGACAGAGAAGAGGAAGGTGAAGATGTGGTCTCCATGGATGCAAAGACCTCGATTTGCCCTCTTCCTTCCTCTACAAACCTTGTGATGCAGGAAGAAGGAAAAGCAGATGAGGAACTTCAAAAGTCAGCAACGCCCCCTTCATTCTTGCATAATTCCCATGCCAACCCAAGAGGAAAACTAAAAGGGCCCAGAGATGGGAAAGCATATACCTTGTTTTGCTATACCCTCGACCAAAGCCAAGGTCCAGTTTTTGATGTCAGGAGTAGGATAGGATCGAAGCAGTGCAAGGCAGGAAGGTGAGAGACCTTGCGGATGTGATCTTTTTCCCTGCCGCACTACACTGGTGAGCTGATGCAGCAAGCACACTGACTCCAGAGCAAGAACAGTATGAGAAAAAGGGCAAGAGGGGTGTATTATTGTTCTCTTTAGTTGCCTCTGTCACCCTCAAAATCGAGCCTTTTAAGCTTCAAAAGCATCAGCTATACGGCATGTTGATCATCTTTAAAGCCTTTCAGCCTTTTGGTGGAGCAGGCTGAGCAGGGAGCTCATCATCAGCTTCCCACTTGAAAAGGAGCAACTTGAGGGCTCCTTTGCTTGCGTTCCAACTCTCCCCTCTTAAAAAGTAGATGAACTTTGATTTGTTTCTCATCGAATCAATTGACATGACTTCCTAATTAACATTTAAGAATATGTGATATATATATATAGGATTCTTTTAGTTTGCAGAAATTAATATGGAATTCAATCTCAACACTGTTCAACTGCACATGATAGACTCACCTTTACAGACACAGAGAGTGAGAGAGAGAGAGAGATAGAGAGAGAGAGAGAGAGAGAGAGAGGGAGGGAGGGTCATTGGCTTTCAATCTTGATAGAGGAAGTTGAGCCCTTTTGAACTTTGTATATGAACATAAAACGCATATCATATTGGAAAATTGCAGGCTTCTTTCTTTGCCAGAGAAGAGCCTTGTCTTCCAATGAAGAAATGGGGCCATGAAGTTTGACAGAAGATCAAATCTTTGGTTTCTGTAATACTTTAACAAGCATTCTTTACTTTTTGCTTCCATCTTGTGTTTGATTCTAATCTATCCCTGTTTTGATTTTTTGACTGCATCTTTACTCAAAGTACTCCATTGAGCTGGCAAAACATGGCTTGCCAATGCCAGGTGCACCTGATGGTCCTCCATTGTAGACAACCAAGTGCTTGCCATTCCCACACACACAATCAACGACAACACATGCCCTTCTTCTATTAAAGCTGGTCTTCAGGACAGATCAACTCACATGCCAATTGAGCTTTCCACTGTTCCCACCCACCCAGGTTTTCATAGGACTTGTTGCCATTGAATGAAGCAACCATCCAATTTTTTGTTGGTCAATCATGATGCTACATCCTTCTCCACTGAATTGGTAAGATGGGATTCTGGCTCTCACCATTTCTTGGACCTCATGATTGTATTACTACTCATTGTTTGTCTGATGCAAATATATTGATGCAGCAATAGCACAAGCAAAAAATCAGAAATCAGAAATCATGAACTTGTAAGGAAGAGCAGATTGATCTGACTGTGAAACCATCAACTAATCAATTTTCAGGCAGTGGAACCATCTTCAAATGCATATTAATAATCAACCAAGAAAAAGATGCAGAGTCACTGCAAACCAAAAGAGAGCCCCCAAATGTCTTAATTGCTGAGGTAAACGACACACTCGATCTCGATCATCAGTCACTGCATTTATTCGTCATCGTTAAGCCACGACACGCCCTCTTATTCAAAATATACAAAGCACGGTTTCAAGATACACACAATCCAGCCGTAGTGATATGCAAAGAGTTGCTGCGGTGTTCTTCCTCTGCTCCTGTACGCATTTGGCCCTCAGTCGTTTACAGCAGTCAGCCTTCCCCGACCACCGGACGAAGGCGTGCGGTCGTGCCCGCCGCAGCTCGAATCAGGGCTGTACGCCCTGTGCCGCCTTGTCTGCATACCAAGCGCCACGCCCGTGTGGCTGGGGCTTCGGGCGGCCGGATTAATTGTCGTAGAAGTCCCTCCGCCGGAGCTCGACGAGTCGGCAGCGTTATCCGACCTCGCTCGAGATCTCCTGGTGGCGGCATTCCGCTTCGGCTCGTGAGGTTTGGCCACCGGAACCTGGGCTCGAACCTTGGCCCTGGCCGACTGCGTGGCCGCCATGTAGCTCGGAACCGCCGCCGGCTGAGCCGGTTCATCTCTGAGATGGTAGGAATAGTGCGTGGGGTTGACTGGGCTTCTTCTTCCGGTATCCATCTCGACCGTCTTCTCCGATAAGCCGTCCATGGCGGTGGCCGTGACGTAGGAGCTCACTGGCTGCGGCGGGGGTGCGCCATGCTGGCCCCCCCACTGCTGGGCGCCCATCCACCTCTCCAGCCAGTTCCAGCCCCACTGTACCTTCTCATGCTCCGGCTGCGAGGTTTGACAAAAGAAGTACGAGCATCGGCGAAGTTTGGGTGGCGCAAAAAACCAAGGGAGAAGGGGAGACACAGAAGACCGATACCAGCTGATAAGCGTAATCGTAAGCGGCACCGAGCTTGCGCTGGGAGTTGACCGTGATGGAATCCGAGCTCTGCTGTCGCCCGTCCCACTCGCTGAGACGATGGCCTCCCCCGTCCACTTCGTCGCCGACGTCGCCTCCTTTCATGAAGTACAAGTCTTGGAGGCGATCCCGCGGTGCTGCTCCTCGCTCCAGGTGGCGGAGGTGGCAGGGGTCATGGTAGGCGGGGGCGGTGGTGGGGGAGGGGGAGAAGAGCAGGTTGCGGTGGCTGGCGAGCTGGAGGCGGTGGGCGCGGGCGAGGGCCTGCACGCGGACGAGGGACTGCATGCAGCGGAGGGTGACGTGGGCCCGCTTCCGGACGTGGTGGCCTCTCACCAGCGCCTGCAGCTTCACGAGCGCCCTCAGCGCCCGCAACGCCCTGCGAGCCTGCA